CGCTCTCCGCCCTGACGGACTCGGGCCCTGGTTCTCACGCCGCCATTTTGTGGCGCTCCTGTCCCACAGGATGGGGAGTTCCCCTATTTTTTTCTCTTTTAGGAAAAATAGTTTTATTTTTTAAACCCCAAGACTTTAGGGAATCATCTGCAGTAAAGGCCTTTTGTTTGGTATGTCCTGACTAAGTAAATTGTGACAATCCAATGGGTTCTTGGTTCAGGTCTCCTCAAGCAGTTCAGGTCTTCTCCAGGGTTTCCTAAAACAGTGTGGTAAAAGAAGGGCAAAGGAACATAAACAACACGAAGAGAGGCTCATTTTAATTTTATTTTATCAGCAGAGATAAAAAGTCACGGAATGTAAGCTCTTCTAAATTTCAAGAAGATTCAAACAACCAGCCCCTTTACAGTAATGAATAGCACAGGAGAAGCACAGGTTTTCTCCCAAAAGAGCCTCCCTACAATGAAAATTATTAATATAGAGTCAACTGGAATTAATACTGTTTCACAGTTTACAACTAGTAGAATCGAGATATGGATTTTAAGGAAGATATTTACCTCACAGGTTATGGGTATTTTCCACCTTTTAATGAAGAACCTGGCTGTTGCCAGATGAGTTTCTGAGAAGTGACATTTTTAATGTTAGTGCTATAATGGCTTGAGACCACATCAGGCAGTTTGTTTGTGGATTCTGCACCCAATACAATCTCTTAATATACCAAACTTTATTGCCGTGATTGAATTCCGTGTAATTACATTAAAGCCGTGCAAAAATGCGAAATGCACAACAACACTTTTCTCCTGGCAGCATTCTGAATAGCCCCATTAAAAAGAACAGATGAAGTCTGAAGCTGCTTTACCTGATCGCGTGTGTTACGTGTTTATCTTTAACAAAAATATCAGTCACATAGGAGAATTATCTCTGAATCAGCCAACATCCTGAGTTGGCTGATGGTTTGATGCTACTTTTCTGCAGTATGTCCAAGAATCAGCCTTTGCTGCAGTCATATCCTGGAAGATATCAGATGTCAAAAGTTTGTTACAGGCTGTTGTTACCTACTGTTTTTAAAGTCTGCAAACACCGTCTATATTACCAGTGCCATTGAATTTCTCAGCGTTTTCTACTAGTGACACCTGTATCCTCATAATTCACAGCACAGAATAGCACTTGACATTTGCAGTTACACTCCTTCTTTTTAACAATACCAGAAAAATAAGTATTTTACATATTCATGCTTTCAGAAGCTCTATATTCTACAACTTTACCCTTTTAATAAATTTTATTGTAAAAATACAGTAAAAGAAAATAAACACTTTCGTTCTCTCTACAAAAACATTAGCACTCTTCTACAAAAATATTCAAAAGGTTAAATTATTTGTATTTTTTTGCCATAATACAGTAGTCTGTAGTCTCTATCTCAATAATATACAGCTATACAGTCTGCTCTATTGATGAACTTCGTGTTGTAGTTTATAAAACAACAAATAAAATTTCTTTACCCCAATATCTTACAGTTTTAATGGGAAGTTTCAGAAAACCAGCTAATAAACACTATTAAACTGTTTCTTGAGAACACCTTTTTAATATATGCTTCATTTTTTTTTTTTTTTAATTCTAAGGAATTACTTTGGAATTTTTTTTTTCACATGGTGAGAAAGCAAAAATATTCTGCCTTGATCTGTGGCTTGAGGTAGTATTTCCTCGTATTTTTCTTATTATTTTCAGAAGATTTTTTAAAATTTGCTACCTTAAGTGTTTTCAGGCACTAGGATTTCAATCTTTAAATACATTTGGTAAAACTATTATCTCTTTCTCGGAGTTTTTACCCCAGCCTGTGCTAATCCAGTCCCTTGGATTAGGTGTTCTGATCCCCCTTTAACGATGAGACAAATTCATTTCTGTCAAACACCCAGCGTTAAACGCTGCCTCGCCCCTCCCGCTCCCGCAGCCCCAGTGCTGCAGGATGGAGCCCTAATGCCACTTTAGTCCAATTCTGTGGTTGTTTTCTATTCCCCTTGCTCCTGGATTAGGGTCTCATCCTCAGCCCCGGTTTGCCGTGGCTCTGCTGCTCTCGCGGTGTGATGGGGAAGCCACGGTGGGACAGTCAAAGCCCAGCTTTGCTCGTGGTTAATGCACCTGAATAACGAGCTGAGCCCGCAGCGTCCTGAGGAACGGTGTTTGCAGCCCTTTTAGAGATCGCCATCACCCCCCAGCTCCAAAAACGGAATTTCTGCCCGTAGCAGCACGGTACAAACAGAAGAAAGGATTAATAACAATCCGTTTTCTATTTAGTGAGAATTCTGTCTTTAATCACACCTAGCGTTCCCACACCTTTGATTTAAGTGGACTTGGTGGCTGGACAGGAGGAGTGTGCAGGATGCTGGAGGAGCTTTTCCATCAGCAGCACTGCAGTCCAAAGGTTCAGTAACCAGCTGGAGTACAGGCTGCACATCTTGTACACAAACATCTCTCCTTGCTTTCTTCATTGCCTTCTGAGAACATTAAACCTCTCAAACACAACTGCTCCAGGAGCAACGTTTTACCTAAATTATAAATGTCCTGTTTCCCTAAGTGTGGATTAGACTCTTACAAATCCCTTACCACTATTAGTGAGAAATTTGGTTCCACTAGATAGTAATTCAAGTGCGGTTAAAACTACTTTTCTCCCTTTTATGCTACGATGTGTGGTATTGTCTTGCAATTTTTACTTGTTTATTGTGTCAAAAAGGCTTTTGACTGTGTAAATCCTTGAATTGCATTTTTCTTTTGAAGTTTAAGAAATGAGTGGCAAGGTTTCGATCAGCTTGGATGAAATTCTGGTCAAGCTTGGTAGGTCATTATATCATACATTTTTTTATTAACAATTACTTATGCACTGCATAAAGTCTGCTTTATTTTCTGCTTTAAACAGTTATATTAGCTTCAAATAAATGTATAATATTAAGCTTTTGTTCTTTGACTACATAATGTTAGCTGGGAGGTAAATAATACTAAAATTTCTATTTAGATATTTTGCTAAAATAGTTGTTAATCAGAGTTTGTGCAATTAATGCTTCACAGAATGTTTGTTTCACTACTCTACTTGTATATATGCATATAATGAAGGGTTAATTTTCTTCTTAAGCTTCCCAGATAGAAAAGAATCACAGTGCTAAGGAACATGCGGACCATCAGATAAACTGTGAGTAGTGATAAATGATCATTTTACTGGATGCTGAACACTGATTTTGTTCCGTTAATCCTGGGACATGCTCTGTGTCTCGGGGGCGGAAGCGGGATAAACAATGGAAGCTGTCCCGTGTCCTGCTCTCACCCTGCCTCGTCTTTAGCCATCAATACTCGCTCATTCTCCCCAGCACGCTTTGCTTTTGCTCAACACTTTCAGCCGAGGCTGCTCAGCTGCCTCATGGACGGGCAGCTCCATGCTGCGCCATTTCCTGCTCTGACTCTGCAGCTCCTCACAGTCCCTGGCAGCCTTTGATTCAGCTGTGCTTGCTCAATGCATCTGCCACTTGCCTCCCTTTCTTTCTTCATGGTTTTTGTTCTTTCCAGATTTGGACCTCTGCCTCACTGCATCTTCTCCCTTTCTGTTTTCTTGACATAATGAAAGTTCTCTCAGTTGCTGCTACGTACTCAAGCCTTGTTCTTCTTTTTTTGCAATCAAGCAGCTGGTTACTTTATTTGAAATTCAAAACAGTAAACCCAAAGAGAAAGTCTTGCTCTGCATCAAATTTGCTCTGTCCTAGAGCTTCCAGACAACACAATACTACAGACTTATGTCTGGACTGATTTTTTAACCATGCTACTATGTGGAATCACTTAATGAAGTCTGAAGAATAGTTTCTCTACCACAAACAATCTGAGAACATCTGTGCTCACCTCTGGTACTTCATAGGCAGATTTTCAAGCACATAACCTCCATTAAAAAAAAAAAAAAAAAAAAAAAAGCAAAAGAGAAAATTCTGGTCTAATTTGTGTTCTTTTTGATTACAACATTTCTAATAATCTTCACTGATATGTCCAAGTACTTATTCATTGAGAAGATTATCACAATTGAATTGAAGCACCTTAAAGATGAAAACATCTGTAACACTAAATCTGGCACACCTTGGATTCTGGTTTAACTCTCCAGTCACACAACCGAACCTCAGAGATAAGGCTTTCCTTAACATTTATGCAGGCTTAGGGTAAATGCTCTTAGGGAAAATCCAAGGGCTGTGTAGTAACATGGCATAGCTGCTTTTGTGTTCAGAGATACCTAAATATGTGTAAACACACAGCCAACACTCAGGCTTTTAGCAGTTTGGGTTAAGTCTTCCAAAAACTTAGCAAAAAATAGTGACACTGATGTAATTTTGTCTCTATGTGAGTATTACTTGGCAGATGAACAGCTGTAGCATTCAGCCTTGGACTTTTGGTGTGAGATCCATCAGCCTGTTTGGCTACAGTCCCTTTCTTACCAGTGGAGGGAAACAGGCACTTGTAGGATGTGATTTACCTTATCCTGAAGGAACAGTTTAAAGTGGGTTAGATAAAGTAAACTTTTAAAATGCCAGCTTCTCTCGGCTGGGTGTAGCTGCAGCCATGGGTGAGCTGTCCTGAAGAGGGTCCCTGCACTTTGGGGTGAGATGGATCTCACCCACCAGGTCCTTGGGAAAGCACAGGGTGAGTTGGACAGCTCACACAAGTGCTTGTCTGTAAAAAATACTAAATGAGATGTGAAGTGTTTATTCTCTTAATAATGTTATGTTTTGATAAATCTCAAAAAGTCATCTACAGAGTTCTGCCATTCTCAGCTGTTTATTTACAGAAGTGAAGCCATGTCAGTTGTCCAATATTTATGCTTCATGCTAAGTAAAGGCAAGTTACTGACTTAAGATATTGAAAATATTAAGGGACTGAAGATAACTCAAGGATAACCCAAGATATTAATTGACATTGAGAAATTTGGCTTTTCACTGACTGACATTTCTCTGTGAGAAGTGGTTTATTTTCTGCTATAAATGCAGGTGCTGTTGAAAATTAATATATAGCAAATAGTGCAAAACCAGAGCCAAAATTCAGGAAAACTGAAGTTTCAGAGCAGTAATTTCAACAACTCCAGACCTATCTTGCTTCACTAAGATGCTCTTCCCAATGGAGTAGATGAGAGAAGGGCAGGATGTGCTTGACTTCTGTGCTGGGCCACCTGCTCTGGCATTTAGTGCTTCAGGAAAGCAGTGATAGCAAGGGATGGTTTAGCACTGATAAATCTGAAATCTTGCATAGAAAAAAAAGAACTAAAAAATGCAGAGAAAAAGCATTCACCAAGTTTGCCTATTGCATTGAAGGTGAGTGTGCATGACAGCTCTCACAGCTTTTACTTGTGAAGAAAATACTGATCATGTTCAACAACATGGATTCTCCTCTAGCCACTCATTCAGAAAGTGCTATCAGCTGCCTGCTGTCAGAAGAGGCAGAATTAAATTTGCCTTAAGAATCTTCACAAATATCATAGTCCTTAAGAACCTGTCATTATAATGCACTTTTTAATTAATTAACCTGTGTCCTATACCAATTTATCATACATTACACATTCCTACATTGAGTAAAATTCCTTTTTATTGTGTTTTTTCCCTTTCTATTTTCCACTAATTGCTTATATGCCTTTTGTGATGTTTTTTATTTTTTTCTTTATTGTAGTCAGGTTTTCCACTCAGAATATTTGACATTCTGGGCTTCTGCAAAAGAATACAAATGTTTGAAAGAGAGTCCTGGTTCTGGCTGGAGAGTGAGGAGTGTTTCAGTGGGAGCACAGAACTGGGGAATATCACTACCAGTTATTTCAGTTCTGTCAAGACTGGGATTCAGAAACAGCACAAACCATGGCAGTCTCACAATATTAGATGATAATTAAAGTTCTCACCACACAGCTGAAAATCCCTATGTTTTGACTGACTTTGTTGTTTTCTTGCTTAACTGCAGGCTGTCCACTCACCTGGCATTATGGAGATTAAGTTTTTTGAAGGAATTTTTAATCAATATAAATGTATACTCATTTTTTAATGGATTTGTTGAAAATGCATGAATATACTTTTAAATTTACTCTTTAATTCCAGCGTACACTGCAGAAATCACAGAAATAAAGAATGAAATTGCTTGGTTGGAGGAAAATATAAAGAAAAGCAATGAGGCAATTGCTGATTTGCAAAAGCACAACGAGAACAGCAAGAGGCACTGTGATGCGTGAGTATGGGAGAGCCTGAGCTCTGAGTTGGGGCTGGCACTAAGGAAGTCACTGAGGAAGGAAGGGAAAAATAAATGTGGGTGTGTTCTGACAGCGGTGATGTTAAAGAAAACTTCAGTATTCTCCTGTTTATTTTAAACTGCAAATTTTAGGTATAAAAATTTCAGTATTAATCATCTGCTGAAGAAGAGTTATAGAAAAGCAGACTACATTTAATTTTGGGTTGTTTTTTTATTCAGATCCCCAGTTTTTAGAAGATCACAGGTACTATCTTTGCAGCATGCTAAATTATTCACGTACTAAGGTAACAGAAGAATAATTTTTCTACACTTGGATGCACCGGAGTTTTGTCAAATTAGACCAATATTAAGAATGCTGTTAAAAAAAAAAAAAACTTCCTAAAATTGAACATCTTTCTATTCTTTCTTCATAACACGTTTCAAGTTACTTTTTGTTCTGTACATAATTTTACACAAGATGTGCCATAACTGCCTCCCCACACACATGTGTGCTTCTGTTGGCAGATTCCAGTATCAGTTTTGCTCCAGACTGCAAAATTTGCCTTCTGGGTACAATGTTCTGGGCTGCCATTCACAGTTTTCCTTACATAAATGTTTGTATCGATAATTAATTCAAGTTTTAAATGCTGATTACTTTTGGGTCTTAGTAAATAGCAGCTTTTCAAGACACAATTTAGCTACAAGGAATTTCATCTTCCTGACACGTGATTTTTAAAAATCAAAACCTCAGGTGTTTGTCAAGGGTAGCTGGAAAGGCAAATCTGTATTTGACAATACAGAGAATTTTTCCCAGCTGATAAAAGCCACCAGAGTTTCCCATTTCTCCACAATCTGACTAGTTCCTCAGAAGCTGGAGTGAGGATTTTTTTGGCAAATTCTGTTTTGTTTTCTTACAATTCTATATCTAAAGGCAAGTACTTCAATAAAAATATCTATGACATACATTTGAAATTTTTTTTGAAATACGAATGGAGAGTGTGGGTGTTTCTGAGAATAAAGAAGGAAGTAAAGATGGCATTGGGGTCCTTTCTAGGTTTATTTTGAACTCTCAAAAAGAAAAAGCAAGAATGGAATCATTAGTGAATAAAGGTGGTATAGTGGCTGGCTCATTTGAATGAATTGCCATTCAATACTGATTTGTAGCTTTACCCTTAAATGAGTTGGGAAAAGATCTGACCTTGGTAAATAAATTCTGTTTTTCCATCACATTAAGTTCTCGCCTCCAGTGTAGTATAAAATGAACACTTACACAAGTTTATGAAACTATCCACACTGCTTCCCTTGATATCTTTTTGAGGCTGCAAATCTGTTTGCAAATGACAAACTGTTACGTGATGCAAATGAAGGAGTAAGAAATTAAGGGTAGGACTAAGGATCTGATCTAAATTTTAATCATTGAATTCAATGGGTTTTGGCTCAAGTCCTACAAAGAATAATTAATGGCATTAGTGTAAAGAGCCTGAAAATGAGAAGTGACTCATTAATGAATACATGTATTCATAGAAGGACAATGCTTGCAGAAGAGTAGAGACTTTGTGTCTTAAATTATTGGAAATGTCATTTAACGACACACTGAAAACTGCAATAAACAAGCCCTGGCTATAAGATCAGACAATTAGAGCACTTACACAGTAGAATCACCCCAAACTTCTAAAATTTATTCTAGTTGACACTCCATCTATGCTGGACATGATTCTAATGTTGGTTTTGTAAATTCAGATGCTGTTTTGGAGTCACAGTCACCCTCACATCTGACTAATTGCCAGTGATAGAGCTCAACAGAGCTCTCAGAGAAGCAACATTTTGTCTGGGTTACAAGACATTCTGAGTATATTGAAGCAGATTTGAAGACTTTGAACAAAATACAAGCTTCTTGTATTCAGCAAGTCTAGAGAAAATATGATCTATGGGATAGGTGTATTGGGATAGTACTGTGTTTTCTGAAGAAATCCATATTGGTCTATGTAAAAAAGACCTGAAGGCAGAAACTGACCCAAATGAAACATATTTTTAGACAAGTGATGACATTTTGCTAATATTTAGTTTCTTGAAGGATTCAAACTAGAAATGTTGATCCCAGAGCAGTAAGAAACACTTCTTACTGAAATGCTGCTGATGGAACCTATTCCAATTTTACTGTTTCTCTTACAATTTTAAATTTGCATGCAAGGATGGTGGTATTTAATGAAAATAGAAGACAATTTTGAAAAAGCCACATGAACTCAGAATGTTTTTAGTTAGGAAAATAAACTGTTGTCTTGTCCCAAGACAAACTGCAGGATAATTTTATTGCTTTTAGAGTAGTGTGGTTAAAGATCTTTTCTATACCCTGGCTGATGAAAAGAAGGATAAATAAATGTGAAGGCTACCAAGGACATCCATGAGGCAGTGATGCATTTTGCAAACAAGTAAATGAGCTGCTTGAATCCTGCATGCCTGGCTGTGTTCACAAACCACTGTTCTTGTACCACATGTTTTTTCATCTCCACAGAATAGATGGGAATAAAAAAAAAGTAACTCACAGCATGGCTCGTGCTCTGATTAATAAAATCTCTATGAATTTTACATCTTATTTTTTTCCCTACAAAGCAAGTAAAGCAGTTTTCTGAGCAAAAGAACATAATAGTGTCTGGTGTGCAAGCACATTTTTATATAAGTATGTTGGTTTCTGCTTTTGAAAAAAATCTGACCCTTTTGAAATTCAGCTTTCTGCTGAATTTGGAGGAGGAATGGTGAAGTAACATTTTGCAGTTCCACTTTTAATCACCAGTGGTGTCCAGCAATTTGTGCCAGGAGTGCTGGATGGTTCATGCTTCTTAGACCAATTTTTTTCCCCCGACAAGATTCTTTCTTTTCTAAAACTTTTTAATATTCCTCTCCTAAAGATGACATCAGAATTTCACTTGAATCAGAAAGTCTATCTGCCTGTTTTTCTGGTGTTTCCATATCCAAGGCAGAGTTGTCTGTAATGCCTGGATGTTGAGAAAGTCCTGCTCTTTCAATAATCCCAAGAATTCTGTGAAGCTGCTCTGCTCTCGGTACCACCTACAGCCTCCTGCTGCAGGAAAATCACTTTGGTGCCCTCTGAGCAGGACTTTCTCGGCAAATGGACAAATTCTGAGTGCATTGGAAATTCTGAGTGCATTTGGGTGTGGGATGGGTGCTGGTGATACTGGTGAGAATGAAGTTGTGGGTGTCTCCAACAAGAAGATTCAACATATCTAAAGGATTTATTGATGGTGAATGTGTTGAGGACCAAAATGTGGATTTAGATGCATCATTACTTAGCATTAGCTCCAAAAATTTGTGAAGTTCATTCCTTAATTTCTTAAAAAGTGCTTTGTAATGTTTCTTAATTCTAAATATATATATTTTTTTATTTCTTCTTGAATTTGCAGGTTTAAAATATCAACAAAATAAACGTATACCTGCAAAAGACTTCATTTATATTTAACTTTCAAAAAATTAATAAATAATTTGCAAGCTAGCTAAAGTATCTAGGTGTTTTCTTTTCTGAACTTTTTTTACTAAGAAAGACCACTAATATACTTTTATTTTTTGTTTACTTTGTCCACAGCTGGAAGCCCACCTATGTAATTCTTAAAAAGCATGGAGAATATTTGAACAATGAAATGAAAGCTTTAGAGGAAGCCACAGAAACTGAGAGGTATCTATGATCACATAGGATGGGGTTTCCAGCAGTAGTACTGACTAAACTGATCAGCAAAACTAGTGCTGTCTGCAGGAAAAAATTGTTGCAAACTTTTCAGTTTATAGTCACTTAGAAGTGACTGAATAATTGAAAGAATTGTTGTTTACATTACTATGAGATCATATGCTATTTTTTAATTGCTAAAGAAATATGATAAAATATGAATTCTTGAAAATCAGTTGCTTCCCATTGTAATGCCTATTATAATTTTTCAGAGAATTGTATGATTGCCTACTGTATCAAGGAAAGCCCAATACATAAAAATAATTTATGTTTTCAAGTAACAGTTAGAAGCATTTAGATAATTTTATGCTTTTCCTTATTTTTGAATATGAATTGCATGGCATTATCAGAATATACAAATCAAGTTTTTGTATGCTGTTGTATATTCTTCAAAATAATCACAAGGCATGCAAAGTCACTCTTAGTGAAATGAGTAAATGGCTCAGAAAAGCCTGGTCTAAAATAATTTTAAGATTTGTAGTGGGCAAGCTTCAGTCAGCATTAATTGCAAATTCAATTCTGTTCAATGAGTGGCATCTCAGTTGTTTAATCTTCATTAATGAGACTCAGCATTTTAAAAGAAATTATGAATTGTGTGATGTAGCTGCCTACAGTCAATGCAATAAAGAGCAGACCCTGAAGATTCTCACAGAAATGAGAATATGTTGTGCCAAAAATGCTGTGCCAAGGAAACCCTGCAAAGTTCTACTGAACAAAGTAAAGCTGATCTCCAGTTTGGGGGGGCTGCTCACCTGCCCTGCTCTGCCTCTGAGGGGGTGGAGGCTGCCCTGGGTGCAGAAGTCATGGCAAACCCCTCCAGATACCTCAATACCAGTTAAAATTTGTAAATTTAAGTAATTTAAAACATTGGCTTTGTGTTTTTTGTAATAATTCTTTTTGCCTGTTGTCCAAGACAGCAGAAACAGCATGCTTGAGAGCCTTTAATTAACTCACTTAGTAGCTTATCTTTCTTCTTCCTGTTCAGAGCTCTAAATTTGGTGAAAAATAAGGCTAAATTGGCTTTCTATGAGTATATGATTAAGCCTTTTTGGCTTTCACTAATTTGAGCTGACAAGCCAAAGAAGCATTACTTTTAAATTGCTTCTTTAGATAACTAGTTTCAGTTCCAACATGAAAGTGTTTGATCTGTTTTCCCAAGCTTAATTGTGAGACATCATGAGTACAAATCACAAAATCAATTTCGTTCATGCATTTTTCAAAACTGTGCCCCAAATATAGTCTCTCTGCACCAAAGCATTTGATGATATGTTCAAGTCAGCAAGATGTGCATTCAGTAAATTCTAAATATTTAAATTAGGAAGAAAAAGAAGTGTTTTTAGAACTTTCTGAGCTGAATGTTCTTTTTAATCTGACTTTTGGGGGCACTGAGGACATGCTGCTTTAGATGGAAGGATGTGTTTTAAAGATGGGCAGATCAGTTCATGTTTAATTAGGCAATTATAATGGAGGTTTATAAAATGTTCCACCTTTTTTGTTGTTATTGGTTTCAAGAACATATAAGAATGCATTTATGAACTGGAAGTTAATCCTGAAAATAAGAGATATGAAAAGGAAAAGGTAATAAATTGCTATCCACATAATGTTCAGGGGTTGTGAATGCTACCCTTTTCCTGTTGTAATTAGATTAAAACCTTTTCTGATTAATGTCAACAGTGGTGAATTCTAAATAATCTGTGTTATCTGCAAGAACTGCAGGATGTAAATTACTCAGAGAAAATATTAAAAATAGTGGTGATTACTCAAGACTTCTAAACTACATATGGCCATAAATATTGTCTGTGAAAAATAGATTTTGGGCAAAGAATATAAAGTTTTAGGATTATATTCACAGGCTTAAAATGTACCTGCTAAAACAAATTCTTTTACTTATTTATATTATTTTAATCTATTTGTAATGCATTCTAAGTTTATTAGCAAATTTATTTTTGATCAGTGATTGTTGTAACATCTATTTAATTAAATAGAACTGAATATTATTCATCTTTCATACCTGAAAAATTTTGTACAGTATACAGAAATAGTAAGTAAATAAAAAAGCCCTTAAATTCCTGAGACCACCTACGTAGAAAAGCACATAGATTAGTGTCATTTTCTATGTGAAGTTTGGGAAATATCAATTTCTAGGTTTGATTCACAATGTTGACCTACAGCTTCTCTCCCCTACATTTTAACAGTCAGTTCAACAGGAACTCTTGCCTGGAGTGTAGTTTGATTTGAAAATTAGAATCTGACTGTGTTTTGCCTTGTGAATTTGTTTTCCTTCTGTAAGAGCAGAAGATTCTGGTATTGAATGTAGACATGAGTTTTTCTCTCTGCCATTGCCTGGCACAGCCAGTGGGCAGCCAGGACTCTCAAATGCAGCCTTTCAGTCATGCTGCAATGAAATGATAAATAGCAGTTGGGGATAAAATGTGTTCCTTAAAGGGAAGTGCTGTCAGCTGTGCAAGTGGTGAGAGCTGTTCCTCAATGTAGGGACAGGGTAAGAGGTGGGATTTTGGCTTTCATTGCTTTTAAGCACCCCAGTTCTTCCCATAAAGGATTTTCTTGCTAATCTTTAGGTTTACTAATAACTTAATATTTTAAAATTTGCCTCTGCATTGTTCACATAAGCTTTTCCTGCATTAATTGATGTTACCTACTTCAGTAATTCATAGCTATGTGCTCACATGATGTCAGTGAAGTTACATTTAGTGTAACATTAATTTACAGGGCAGCCCCACAAGAAGCTGAGCATTCTGGCTCTTTGCCACTTAAACATTTAAGTGTTTGCTTAACCCCAAGTACGAATAGTGCTGTTGTTTCAGTGTGACTGGTGTGTGTGTTTAAGGCTTCGCCAAGATTACTCAGCATCTCCTTGGAGGCAGCTCTCAGTCCAGTGGTGCACCAGGCTGCTCTAAATATGGGAAGTTTGGGCAAATTCTCTCCCACTGAAACTTTGATCCAGCTCCACCAAAACCGATGGAATTGTGCCAACATGCACCAGCACAGACTTTGGCCAGTGAGTTTCATTATAATTACACAGCGAAAAACACATTTGTCATCTGCCAGGCTGCCTTTGAATATGGTATGGTCCACATTCCCCTCAGAACAGGGAGATTTGCCTGCTTTTTACATCATATTCTTTGTTACATACAGCATAGTCTTCCTTGAATATAACTGGAAAAAAAATCAGTCCAAATATTGCCATATAAATATAATCTGACTTTTCTTCCTATGACAGCGGCAAATTAACTGAGCTGATGCTAGAATTTAAATTTTTTTTTCCTTATAAACAATGGTTTCCTGTGAAAAAAAAATTAAATTACATGTATTTTTATAGGAAAATATATGAGGATTCCATAACCCAGTGTAGGATGAATTTGGAGGAACAACACAAAAAATATACAGAAACTGCTCTGGCCCAGAAGTATTACCAAATAAAGGAAGAAGTTGAAGAAATTCAAAAGGGAGTTTTGAAATGCCTTGAAAAATACAAATGGAAAGAAGATGCTTGCTTGGATATTCTGGGTACTGCTATTGTCAATGCTTTTGCAATAAAGACTTTTGGCAGTGCACTGCACATTAAAGGTGTCATACAGAAAACCTCCAATTTTCCAAAGTTTCCTTTAAGCTAATAAAATATATTCTCTTTGTCACACCATTAAAAAAACCCCAAAAAACTGTAGCAAATAAGAATTTAGATTATACACACTGGTATTCCTTCCTCTAACCCATAAATGTAATGGGGAGAGATTTGTCATTGAACTTCTTGGGGTGAAAAAGTTTTAAGATTTCTTTAGATTGAGCCTCTCAAAATTATAAATTTAATTTTCATCACATTTTAGTGCTGTTTTTAATGCCACTACTGTTATACTGCAATTTTTGTTATCTATACTATATTTTGTTATCTATATATAAGCCAGGATAAGGGCTAATGATCTATTAATTTATCTTGTATTTGTTTAAGAAAATTGATTTGTTAGTTAATGATCTGAAGGTAAATTTTATTTTTGCAGAGGCTGTTCCTTTTGCATCCATAAATAATTGGGCTGTACACATGTATCCTTGATTTCTAGTGTTTGCTCAGTTGTCAGGAAAGAAGTTTTATATTTACCTTCAAAACTTTCTATTAGAAAATATAGGAATTATTTATATATTTATATATCTACATATTTACATATTTACATGTTTATATATTTACATATTTATGTTTAGAGTGGCAGCATTAACATTTCTCTCTGAGAAAACTGGAGGTCAAAGTCAGCTATTCAGTTTGAATTTATGGGAGCATTTTGGGTAAAGAATACAAAATTTCATTTAATAACATATCCATCAAAATGCTTCATTTAGGAGAAGCTTAATAGATGTTAGAGTTGAAGATTTGCCAAGAAAATGCAGATTTATCAGGCCTTCCTGCACCTCTAGCATTTGTGTTATGGCATAGAGAGGTCAGGGATCTGGTGGCATCCCTTGCTTGAGGAAATATATTGTAAAATATATTCCATATATTGTTGTAAAATATATTCCATGACTTGGAAGTGCCTCTATGAGGACAAAAACACAGGAAACCCTGCAGCTTGCTGGAGCTGCTGCACAGGAAACCATCAAACTGGAAAAAGAAGCTGAAGAATTACAAATGAAATTTGACTGTTTAACAAAGGTAACTGTATCCTAATTTTATTTTATATAAATATGTGTTATATACGTGGTCATACATAGCACAGTTACATTTTCTGAAACATCAAAAAAGTAGTGTATTTTCAATCTCACAGACAGCAGGATGATCCCAGCCTTATAATTACATTTCTATAGCATCACATCAGTTTTTTTTGGAGAACTAAGTATGCTTTACAATAAGAATAATGGAAATTCCTTCTCTTCTTATTATTTTCACCAAAATACATGTGTGGGTATGTAACACCCAGAAGTAAAACTGGCTGATTGACCAGGAGAAATGCTGATTCCAAAGGGAGAATCTTCAAAATAATCAAAGGGATTTTATCAGTACAGAATTTGGACCCACTCTTCTCTAAAAGGTCTTCTAAGCCTGAGTAGCCCAATCTTGTAAAGGTTTAATAACTTTTTATGGGAATTGCATCTGGGTGCTTTTCCCCATCTGTCTGGAGCAGATCAAGGACTGCATTCACTGCCTAGTGCTGATAGCAGCACGTTTTGCATTCATCCTGTTTGACACTCCTGGTTCCAGACTGAAGTTCCCAGTGTGGTTTGTGCTTTGTAAACAGACAGGGAGAAGGGAGAATTTGTTGAATTTGTTGAATTTGTTGAATTTGTTGAATGTGAAGAGCTCCATGTTCTGACATTTACACCCATGCTCCAAAACTTCTCTGTTTATTCCAGTTGTTACAGTTGACCCAATAAAAAAATTTCCTTTTTTTAACCTTGTTCCCCCCATTTCTTCAGAACCTCTTGGCTACAGAAACCACTACCATTTAGTAGTAGTTCATGAGCACTGATTCATGAAGTTTAGAAAACTTTTGCAGCATGTAGCTAAAATAGTTCAAGTTTTGTCAATTTTTATGCCATTTGTTCTTTATCTTTTAAGAGCTTCAAAGAGACTAAAGAAGATCAAAATAATTCCGAAAAGATTGAAGGAAAAAATCAGAAAAGTCTTGAGAAGCCAAAACTGTTTAAAGAAAGGTACACTTCAAAATACTTTTTTCCCTTGCTTTTATCCAGGATATTGTGTCAGAATTTTCACAAAGACTGCTACAAAACACAGATTGCTGTTCAGTAAGGACTGGAAAGCTTCTCTAATCCTGGTCATGTGATTTAATTATGGAATTTTAAAAGTTTTATATTTCTGAGGGTTAAGAGAGTGACAACTTTTGATTATTGGAAGCTCAATGTATCTGGACACATTTTCTATATTATTTTGTAGAATCATTTTCTCCTCAGCTACTGCTGAGAGATCTGTGTGAGTAGTTCTGAATGCAGCTACAGTGACTGTGCAGTCAGAGATAAAAGAACATTAACTCTACTAAATATATGTATTTGGAAAAGGAGTCAGGGTTCCACATGTCAGTTGTCTTCACCTCTGAACTACTTAAGAAATTTAACTCTTAATTTAGCTCTTAAAAACAAGCATGAGTGAAAGTTTCATAGACAGGATTAATGGCTTAGTAAATTAGTCAGTGATCATTTACAGCTGGGACTCACTTTAATTTGAGCTCAATTACAGTGACTGAAAATCACCATGAGGACTATCTTGCACTCATCTGGATTCTTTGGGAATATTGAAACATCTCCTTTTGTTCAGGCACTTTTAGACCAAAATCCATTTTAAAGCAAAAATATGTCTGAAAGACTTTGTCTAAGTGATTTTATATTATGGTGTGCTTGAAAAAGAATCCTTTTAGGGCTTTAAATAGGCATTTAGTGCAACATATCTATTAAAAAGTGTAGTTTTAGTATGATTTTTTTCATAGGGAAAGTCTTTTAAGTCTTTAGTATCTTCTTACAGACCTATGAATCATTGAGATGAACATTTCTTTGTGGTGTAGCCTTTGCACCCATTTTACCTTTTCATGTAAGAATTTTGTAATTGGCAAGAACAAAAACATGGGGAAGCAAGAAATCCCCCTAGTTTCAAGGCAAGGTAAAAAACAAGATGGAAAGCACTCTGAATTTTCAAAGAAACCCATGTGTGTTGAGTCTGCAGAACATAAAACACCAGTTAAAGACCTGTTGTAAGAGGCAGAGATTCATGCTCTGGGTGTGGAGGGGTGGAGGGGTGAGAATCCCTCAGTGAGGTGTGTTGGCTCTGTTTTGATTTCTCCTTGCTTTTGACTCCCTGTGTCTGAATTTACAGATGCACCAGCCACACACATCTTGTTTTCTGTAGCATTCATTCTTGACACAGGTTTATCAAGAGCTAATGTAACTGAAAGATTTACTTTGGGTTTTAGTTTTTTAGGTGGTAGATGTTTTGTACAGTTTGTTCAGTCTCAATCCAGCACAGCACCAGGTATAAATGTGATTGCAAGAGAAAATAGTCCTTTTCATCAGAGATACTTGGCTGAGGTGCTTTCAGGGTTTTATGAGAGCACAGTTCACACAGCTCACATATATATATATATATGTGAGTTTAATATGTTAGGTCCTTATATTTAGCCAGATCTTCTCAGTGGTATTTTTTAATTAGTGTTGCTAATTTTACTCCACACTATCTTCTTAATAGAAGGGCATTCTACATTTTATCTTATTTTTGTTTGTGGAGAATTCCAAGAAGAATATAAAGACTGACTCAGTTCTTCATTTGTTCTGAACAGCATTGTTCAGTCAACTACAAACCAGATGTTGGAGCTAGAAGCACAGAGGGACTAAGCAGGAATGCCAGAGAGAAAATAAAATAGAACTCATTATTCTAAAAAATAGCAAATGTTCCTGTGCCAAACAGCCACTTTACTCTTCATTGTTCTGCTAACCTTTGTCTTTCTGCACTGTAAAGGGCTATTTACCCTACACAGATAATTACCCCACAAGTGAAAACACTTGCTGCAGTTTTGTCTTTTGTGTATGTGTAGTGTGAGTATTTCAGACAATCTCAGAGAGAGAAAAAGTGGTTTTAAATGTGAAAATGTGATTTCAGAACTGTAATAATGAGGCACTTTGATTAAAGTGTAAAACTCCACAATATTTATTCTTTTCTTTGATACTGACAAAATTTAAGCCAACTGTGTTCTTATGATTGGCTTATTACTCCTTTATGGCCTCTTTTTCAGAGACATTCTCTCTCTCTCTTATATTATTTAAAGAAAACCTCATTTTTGTCAACTACTGGTGCTGAAAGTGGTAGAACTTCCTTTACAATATCCAATGCCCTTGAGAACTCCACTTATTTGAAGCAGCTATATTTTATGATTTCTTTTCTTTTGCAGTGAGTAATTTTTCTTTTTAATTTAAATTTGTTTAGGGTGTTTGAAGAGCGTGAATGCCCATCTTTGCCAAAGGGGAAACACCGGCTGTTTAAAACATTGCATGTCCCTCAGAAATTTGTCCAGTCTCTACAGAGTTTTAGATTCTCAAAGCAAAGACCAGAAACAGGTGTAGTGTGTTTAACGACTTCAGTGAGCATTTTGGGTTATTTTTGTGCAAAAGAATGGGTAAGTGATGATAACAAATCTAGTGAGCTGCTCAACTACTTATATTTGAAGCCAGGCTTTCAATGAAAGTTGGGTGCTTACCTTTTTTTATGTTCAGTGAATCTTGTGTGTCTGATTTTTCCCTTATCTGTGCAATGAGTAAAGTAACATGACAGATACACCCAATGTGTGGTGCCAGAAACATCTGAAAAGAATTTAATCTCAAATCTAAAATACCTTTAACACTGTTTGCATTAGTACAGTAAATATTAAACAGCTGTTATTTGTTTCATACTTTCATACTTTGTGATAAAGTTTCTTTTTGCTCTCTATTAAAAGGAAAATTTATAAGGTTTGTTCCCAAGTTTGACAATGCCATACTTTGGATACTTAATCTTACTGACAATATTGTGTAATATTTGTAAATTTAGGGAAAGAAGAAAAAGAGAAATCAGTGGAACTTTCAGTGGCCACCAGCAGTTCCTCTAACCTTGCAAAAAATTTATCACAGGTGTGTTGCTCTCCCACTGGTAAAAATATTAAGTTATATAATCTGTTTTATGTGATTGTTTAAATTTAAAACACTTCAAATATACCTCATGGGATTATATCTTACATTAAACCTGTTAGCACTACGAATTGCTAATCATGGTAATCTGCAATTGCTTGGTAATCACAGCAAAAATCTTTCTTTTCATTCTGAAAATATCTGTGTTTTTAAAAAGTGCATTCTAATGCCAAATCGAGGTGCACCATTTTACCAACTCATTTTGTATATGTTTTTAGCATTGAAAATCACCTCTGTAGCTTCTGTATGTAGCAAATATTTGGAACTCTAAAGGAGGATCAAACCCTTCTGTTACTGATGAATCATGAGCCATCTACCCCGTAATGAAGGGTTTCATAAAGGACTGAGAGTACAGGACAGCCCACAGCTAACAACCCCATTCTGAGGTTTGACCAGGAACAGAAATGTGGGCTGAGAGGAATAAAACCATGAACAACACTCCTTGGTGCACTGCAGGAGCCCACAACTCCATTTTCTGTCTCTCACACATAAGAATATAGTTACTATGACATTTTTGAAAAAGTGGAGTGAATTGCATCTTTATTCAGATACAATATTTTTTATTCAAATACAATAAACTAATCCAGGAGAAAGCTGGAGGTACTACTTGCAAAGTTGTGAAAACCACCAATAGTCTCATGGAGTGCAAAACCATTCATAGGAGCAGTAGATTGTTAAAATATTAAATGCAGAAATCAGAGGAAGTAAGGCCATAAGCGGCAGAAGAGTTTGTAACCATGTTTGCTGTGCAGGAGCTTGGGGAAGTTTTTATCTCTAAACCATCTTTCTAAGGGACATCTCACTGGATGTATTTAAAATCAAATTTAATGAACAACAAAAAATCAGTTAAAAAAAGTGAGCATAACCAGTTGTGATTTTCTTAAGAATTTCAAGGGAACTGAAGAATGAGGTGAGCAGTCACTAAATGGTTTAGAATGAAGTCTGTGTGGAAAATAAAGCCTTCATATCACAAAACAAGATGAAGGACAGTGACAGGACAGAGTGGGGCAAGACCAGAAGAAATTTCAAGGAATTCTGATTTGTGGCTGGCTTAGGGAGTTGGAGATGATGAGGATGATGGCAGGGCTGTTGCCAGGGTAATCTAGAGATGAGGCTGGGAGTCTGGGACCTAGAATTGCACTTAGACAATTGTGGGAAGCAGTAAGTCAAGGTTAAGAGAACTTTAAGAAAGGGTGATGGCAACAAGGAAAAGAAGATGTAATTTGAGGAAAAATAAAAAGATTGGAAGAAAGAAGGTTGCTATGCTTCAGCAAAGGTGTGCTGTACACTACAGGAGTTCAATGGCAGGCAGATTCTGCAGAACCAGCTCTTTTGTCCCCTACTCTGAATAGAAATCAGTTGATACATTTTGTTAATTAAAAAGAAAGAAGAACTGTAAATTAATGTGTTATTTGATGCTGAGGCATAGATTTGTGCCTTAAGGCACAAATACATGCTACAGAGAAGAGTGATGTCTTCTGCTCTGATGAAATTCTGTGAGGTTGGGAGTATTCCCATATTTTCTGCAGTTTTTCAATCCCCACATGAGACTGTGCTGACTGAGACTGATGTGGATGCTCAGTTGGCCTCCAAAGGCAGAGCCAGGCCTGGCCCCAGCCCTTTCTGCTTAAAAGAAGGGATTTCCACTGTCTAAGGAGAAATCAGAGTGATTTCTGAGAAATCAGAGTGATTTCTGGCCCCAGCCCTTTCTGTGTTCTCAAGCACAAGCAACCAGGCTGGGCAGCTGCAAACCTGCAGGAAGTTTGTAAATGGCACAGCACTATTGGTGTTACAGTAAAAAGTTAATTAATCACATCTAGTTAGCAGAGCTGTGAGTAAATATTAGAAAATTACAGAATGTAAAGTATCATGCTGTCAAAATGTAGGTAAAACAAAGAAAAAGTTTTAATGTTGTTCGATCCTTAATTTCTGGTTGAAAAAAGGGATTTCCACAGCTTAAGGAGAAATCAGAGTGATATTGCTGAAATGCAAATTTCACTTGCTGCCTCATGTGAGTTTTTTCTGTTTTTTAGACAATGGTTATTGAGACTGCAGAGACTAATTGCCCAGAAATTGCCCAAGTTCCATCAACAGTAAGCATAAAAAACGAAGGGAAATTCAGGTAAATTTTCTTTAACAAAATATCTTTCATTCCTGAGGCTGGGGTTTATGGAAATAATTCACATTTAGGCAAATATTAAACTTTGTCTTTTAGACTGTCAGATCTTCCAAAGCAGTTGACTTCCTATCAACAGTTTGAGAGTGGAAATGCAAGAATGGGTAAAGTATTACTGTAATTTTTTTTATAAGGTTGGATCATATAGTTATAAACTAGGAAATTCTAGGCACCAAATTTTAACTCTGGCATTGAGAGTGCCACCATTTGCATTTCTTTTCCACCTTGATTGTTTAGCTCAAAATTTGAGTGTAGCAGACAGGCAGAGTCCTAATTTAAATAGAGACTTAACTGCTCAGTTATTTGGGATTTAGTCTGCACTGACCATTGTGAGGGAAAGGATCTGTCCAACATCTCTTGTAAATTCACACCTGAATCTCAAATTACTTGGGTAAAATGAAATCCAGTCTTAATGTCTAGCTAGAAGGCATGAAAAAATGCAAAGAAGTGAAATATAGTAAACTCAGTAATTTAGGTATCTTGAAGAATCGGATCAAGATTATTAAAGATGAAAATTAACTGGAGAAAAACATGCAGAATGCTTGCAGAAAAAAGCCAGGGTAGTTACAAATACACCTGTAGTTTTCAAAATCACAAGGAACTGAACTTCAGTTTAAATATTTCTTTTTCTAATTGAACTTCTAATTCAGATGCATGTAAAAGATTATAGCCCAGATTTTTTTACAAAGAGAATATAGGACCTTAACCCACAGTGCCTGAGACATAGCACAGTCTGAAATTTAGAGCAGAAACTCTGACAGCAGCAAGTCTGATAATGTTTCTTCTCATTTCTCCTCCTGACTCTTGCCCACTACACTTCATCACTGTCACAGGGATGTGCTTTTTATATTGTTCCCACCTGTTTCTATTGACTATTACCCTCTCAGAGGGTAATAGCTGGAGTAGATAAACACAGCACTCTCAGGAACAATGGGCAGGTTTGAAGAACACACCAACCACAAGCAGCAGCCTGAGTAATGCTTTGACAGCAACGAGTGGCAGAACAAGAGGTAATTGTTATGGACAGAGCCACAAAATGGGTTGTTGAGAAAACCACAGTCAGAACACTTCCTTCCCAATAGCAATGCCAAGCTAGTGAACTTTTCTCAAGGATTCTTTCCCACAATGTCATTTTTATGTGTCTGGTTAAAACGCTGTTATAATACTGGCAGTGCTGTCTTTTTTGTGCAGCAAGCCAGGAGGCCAAACATGTTGATGAAGAAGCAGATGAGCACATGGACTGTTTGTATGTACCTCAAGTAAGAAAAACCTTTCTTGTGTCATGAGTAAGAAGTTTATTTAGAATAGTCTAAGTATTTTGACACACTTGATTCAGTTGGCACGAAACTGGTAAAGTGTCAATTGGTACATAACATTTTCACTAATGTGAGCTGGTGAAATGTTTTGAAAAAAGTCTGCATTTAAAATTCATTTCTTGCACAGAACTATAAATAAAGAGCCTCAGTGCTGGCTCCACTGAGAACATATTTACAGTTAAAAGGACTAATGATAATTTGGGAAATGTTGTATGTTATAAACATCATTGTTTATTTCTTTTTAAAGGATGTGCACACAGGTTTTAAGCCAAATGAAGATAATCCTGCCACAGAAGAAGAAAGTGCAGAACCTTTCTTAAGAGCACCTAAAACACCTGACTTAAAGGGGAAAAACCCACACTTCTCAAAAACACCTCTATTTGACTCGTACGATTTCAACTTTTATTTTAATTGTGTGCAAAAATTTGTACTCAAAGTTATTGTATAAGCATTTCTGCTCCTTTTTGAAAGATAGTAATGAAATAATGTTCTAGAAAGCTCTTCTGAAAATATTTAGAATTTTTTCCTGAGTTATGCTTGATATTTATTAAGTTTTCTTCCTACAGTATCATTTCCAGTTGAAGCTGTTTTGAAAGATCAGTACTTTGCTTAGAAATATATTATACGCATTGTCTTTTCCTGCAGTAATATTTGTCACTCTGATTTCAGTCTTTAACAGGCTTTTTGGTTTTTTTGTTAAGAGGGGAGAGGGAGTTGGTAAGAACACCACCTCCCTTTACTTTAAAGAATTGTGTTATCTGTTCTGTGATGCCAAAAGCAATTATTGATGAAAGCTTTGGGGATGTACAATAGTGAAAAAAGAGGAAAAGAAAATAATAGAAGGGAAAAAGCCATCTACACCACTTAAAAAGCTATTAATATAGTTTCTACATTTCTGTATTTACAGCATTCAAAATTTAGGTTGTGAAGAAGGAACATCAAAATCTCCTGCTTTCTTTTCTCACATGAACTTCACCCAGAAGTCACCTGGCTTTAATTTATTTTATTCTTCTCTGTTTGGAGCACAAAATTCATCTGATGAGGTAAAAAAATGATCAATTGTGAACATTACATTTGCACAAAGCAAATATTGTGAACAAAACAGCGTTGACACTGAATGAGATTTTTCAGACTGGTTATCTTTGCAGCAAACATTTTTTTAATGTCTAGGTTCTGAATCTCTCTCATATAGATCATGTACAAACATACAGTGACTCAATTCATTAAAAGGCTTTTGGTTCAGTGTTACAGTGCAAAATTCAAGTCCTCTAGCAGAATTCACAGCACACATGCTTCTCATGTGTGGTTTTGTCTTGATGAAGTGAAGAACAGTGAGAAAGGAAGAAAGTAGAGTCTATTAGGGTTACTGAACAGCAAATATGGATTAGCCATACTCAAATGGAGGAGCTAGGCAGGCAACTAAAAGGAGCAGGGAATGGAATCCAGGTCTTCCATTTTCTTTGCAGTGCTGTAGAGTAATTTTTCCTCTCCTGGGCTATTAGGTAGATGACTGGGGATCCAGGATAGATGCATAGGACAGGGCTTAGCACGACCTGTGTGTAGGAGAGAACACACTGGTGTGTGGTTTGTGCATTGTTTAGGAATGAGGTGTGTTTAAAATCACCCAGTGCTGTCAGAGCCCACAATATGTTGTGCCTGCTCAGCATGAGAAACCAAGAATTTACCAGGCTGTAGCAGATCTGGGGTTCTTTAAAGTTAGATGGGAGTTTTGAAGAATTTCAGCATCTATTTTAAATCTAAGAACTCATTTTAAGAGTGAAGAGTGGTTATCCTGCTACTCTTGCTGGCAATATGAGGCTCTATTCAGTAGGAAGTATTTGTGTTGTTGCTTGCAGGTTTTATAAAATGTCACAATCTGAATAGTTTTGAATAGTTTTGGTTTAAAAATCAGCATTAAGTCAGGTCAGCTTTTGGACTGTTATCAGTCTGTTTTTTTCCTAGAAGAATGGAGGAAGAGTGTTTGCAGCTGCATGTAAATATCATTAATCCCATTTGATCAAAGAACTCACCTTGCAACTTTAGGGACTGATAAATACCTTTAAATCCAGATTTTGTAAAGCTGCTAACATTCACTGAGACAGTGTTTTTTCCACAAAAAAGCAAATACATATCAGCATTAAAGTTTACTTTTGCCTTTCTCATTTGTTGAATAAAAAATCTATTTACATTTCAGACAGAGGAAAATTATCCTGTGGGAAACCTGAACTCTCTGTCCTCACATGAAGATATTGGTAAGTCTGAAACTCAGATGTGCTTGTGTATATCAGCTCTTTTCTGCTTGTGCTCCCATGACAGACAGGCTCATGATCCAGCTTAACAGAGCTCCTTTGGTTGCCTGAAAGGATGCTCAGCTGTGATAATGTAGCTCAGTGGTTTATTGTGCTCATTTGTGTTTTAACTAAACCTTTATGTTTAGTTAAAGCCCAACCCTTGTGTGTTGGGCTCTAAACATCTGATGGATCATGGAAAAGAAAAGGTATGAGAAAGAAAGGAATAGGGATAGTGTTAAGTGTGTTTGAAGCAAAATGAGAGGATTTGCAAGGGAGAGGACAAAGTCCAAGTATTTCAATGAGTCATCACATTTTTCTCCAAATAAACACTTTTGCAGATTCTGTTTACAAACACCTCTGTTGCAAAATGTATCATGCAGAAGTGTTCTGTTATTCTAAACCCTTCAAGTGCTCCACACTTTATCCCATGTCAATTCTAATAACAACTCCCTGGAAATATCATCTCTGGTGGAGCAATACACTCAAATCTGTAGGGTGATTCTCAGTGGGATATTTGGCACAAAATGTTAATAAAGAAGCATGTGCTGAATGCAGTATTCACTCAGATTTAATCTAATAACAAATATTATCTGTATTCCATATAGGAAGTGTCTTTGGGAAACCAGAAAATGAGGTTGCATTTGCCTTTCCCTCCCCCTCGGAATCAACTTCTCATGCATTTGGAGATGGAAAAGATGATGTTAGTTTTTCATTTGCATTTGGACAGGATCAGAGATCACCACAGTCTCCTTCTATGAAAGGTTTTCATTCTTCCACACAAAATACAAAGCCATTTACATTCTTTTGAATACCTTTGACTTCCTTTAAATTATTTTCCTACTTAGCCTTGAAAAATGTTTCCAGTTTCTTGAGTTAAAGTACAGAGCATTTCTTCTCCTTCCATTTCTTGTAAGAATACATAATTGCAATTGCTGCAAAGTGAGTTCATCAACCACACATTCTGAGATTTTCTTACTTATCTTTGAAATGTGTTTGTTCATAAACTGTTATTATATGCTCTTGCTAAATTGGCACTCACAAACACAAATATCATTTTAGGGTAGTGTGTTAAGTCAATATCTGTGAGAACATTGAGCTTCTGATATAAACTTGTGTTTTCTTATATAATTACTTGTGTTATTAAGAATGACTGTTGTAGCAGTTAAAGCTGAATTTGAATTAAAGACAATGTTCTTGAGTATTCTGTGTATAACAGCTGATTCATAAAATATTTGAAATAAACATTTTTATTAATGTTATGTTAAAGTTTTGTAGGTATTTCTTAATATCTGAAGTGGAACAATGATGCAATTGTAATATTTAACATTTCATTCCCTTTCCCCTCTACTTTTCCTTTTCCTTTTCCTTTTCCTTTTCCTTTTCCTTTTCCTTTTCCTTTTCCTTTTCCTTTTCCTTTTCCTTTTCCTTTTCCCTCTTACAAAATTTCAAGGGGAGCAGAGTCCCTTCCCCTCTGCTGCCCTGCAAACCCCTTAATGACCAAAAGCTTATCTATGCCACTGTTTCTTTTCTGCCAATTTTCTAAATGCCTCAGGACTAATTTTAGGCCTAGAGATTTGTGAAAATTCGATATTTTTTTTAAACTGGAAATGAATCAAGAAGTTTTAGTGAAATCTTGCTGAGGTCCAGCTACTAAGAAGTGAGACAGTTTTTCTAATCTCCTGCATACCTGTCAATCTGAAAAACCTAAGACAGGCAAATTTGAGTCTCTACCTTTTATTTTACACTGCTGATAAATATTCTGAAGTCATTTAGAAACCTAAAAGTTTAATTTTATTTGCTCAGTTATTCCATGACCAAAGACTTTTCCTGATGAATTCTGTTATCCATGCCTAAGATGTTACAGGGTAGAAGTCAAGGCTGCAGTTGAAGTAGGAGAAACCCAGTCCTAGGTCTGACACAAATTGGATAGGCTGATTAATAGCAAAGCAGAGAAAGCTGCTTCAGAAGAGGCAACCTCTCAGCATTTGGGATACTTTTCTGAGGCCTAAGACCATGAGCTGCTTATACACACTGGGATTTTTTCATTGGTGCCTGCCAAATTCCACCTAGAAATGGTCCCTGGTTATGCCTATAAATCAATAAATAGCAGTTGTGTTGATGGGTTGCTGACACTGGCACATCTCTCAAATTTTGGTTTGCCCTTTACACACTCAGCCATTACATTTTACACCCATTTCTAGCCTGAAAGCTGAGTGGAGAGAGATCCCCCTGTCAGTGCAGCAGGGCCTGCTGGAGAGCAAACCCCAGGCACTGCAGGTATCCCACACGTGAGCAGCTGAGCTGCAGCCCAGGAAGCTGCAGAAGCAGCAGCAGCTGGGAGCTGTAATCCCTTCAGAGCTGTGCAGCTGTCAGCAAAGTGACAATATGGTGACACTGTGCCTGGTGCTGGGAGTCCTTGCAGGTGAGGGTGCCTTTTTGTTCCCTCCTTGGATAGCATGGAGTAAAACAGAGTTCAGGCTCACAGCCAAGCCCAAAGGTACTAACAACAAAAACCCCTCTTGAATAAGCAGGGCAGGATTTGGACTTTGAATCTCATAAGAGTATCCTAATCAGAAGGTAAATGTTTATTTAGAGCCCTTAGGTATCTTTGCTGTTCCACTGTGGAGAGCCTGGTTCAGACATGGCTTAAAGAAAGAGGCCATGAAGGTACTTAGCTGAGGGAAAGATAGAAGTCTGCTGTAAAGCAGCCTTTCCCGGGCTTGATTCTGTAAATAATTAGGTTCTCAGCCACCTTTTATATAAACAACAAGATTCTCAGACCGTTTTCTCAAAAACAGGCAGATATCCTGTCCTTGGCTGCTCTGGGAACAGATGGCTGTTCTGGGAACAGATATAAAGGTTTTGAGAACTTTTCATATCATGGTGAGAACACTGATCTTGGTTTCAGTAAACTAACTTCAGGTATTGTAAACAAAAGGAGGAGCTGAAGTTTTCTCTACAGCCTATCGGGAGCTCAGATTTTGCAATATGCATGAAGTGAATTAACACTGTTATAAAAAGTGCCTGGTTGATCAATAAATCGGAGTCAGATGCTGATCAAGGAAGATGGGTAGCTCCCTTCACTTCAACATTCCACTTAGGTTTTAATGATGTTTTTGACAAAAAACCACTTCACTTAAAATACTGCTTGTAAAAGCTAATGTGCCACACTCCATTAGGTTAATAAATATTATATTAAATATTTTGTGTCACCAACCTTGTAGGAAATACAATGATACCTGAATAAATAAATTTTTGAATTTCTCGAGTAAAAAACTTTAAAGAAGTTTACTAATGAAATTTACACTCTGCTCTGCTGCGTTGGTGAGGAAGACATGGATGGCTTTGTTTTCTCTCTCCCACAGAAACAACAGCTATATGGAAATGTTATTTTTCTGATCAGAAATAACATAGAGAGCATTTCTACACATCTGCCTTGTTCTGTAAAGTGGTCTTACTGTAAAAAATTATTTTAATTTCTAAAGTAGCATAACATCTGGAGCACCATCTACTATTTTACTGATATGTAAATGTAAAGCATGTTTATAAACAGGGATATTTGGCTGATAAATAAGCAACTGCTGTGTAAGTTTGACACTAAGAAAATTAACTTAGAAACTATGAGGTAAAGACTATTGTAATGACTTCCAGGGGTTGTGGAATGTAAGATTTATTTGCATGTACTGCTGTTTTATGCCTTCACACACCACTTTTAATAGGAAATAAGGCATTCAGCGAGCTGTTTTCACTCAAAAATCAAGTTTCATGTTCAGAGCAATTTATGAATTTTCTGTAACTTCAGTCCAAGAATATCAATCTAAAGTGCATATACCCAGCATAACACTGCAGGACAAATTTTGTTGTTCGTTTATGTATAATACTTAAGGTGAAAAAAACCACAAGAGTTATTTATATTTAATATCAGAAAAACTGGATGAATAGGGCAACTGAGAGTGTTAAAATTGTCTCTTAACCACACTGAATTGTCAATGGCAATGTGTGAATACTTTGAGGAAAACAAAAAGTTTATGTCATGATATCATGATAATGTAGGGTCATCTAATTGCTCACTGATTAGCAAGAGCAACAAGAATTCTGAGTTGGAGAAACTGTAGTGGTACAAATGGTACAAACCTGGAGTTACAACCCAGAGAGTAGATCAGAGAATGTTGTATAGAATAGTGTCTTTATTTCTAACTACCTCTTAAATTACAGCACTGAACCCCATAATAACCCTCTCCATCATTTCATCCCCAGTCTGGGCTCTATGCAAAGAAAAAAATAGTTTTGAATTTTTCATTTCAACACCATGAACATAATTAAAACTTTGTGTTGGCAGTAACAGGACATCTCTGCATGTTTGTGGGTAAATGCAGGCTTTGGGGGCAGGGGCAGGTGAATCACTGCATCCTAAGAAAACAATCTTACACTACAGCATTAATTCGTTTAAGTATTTCAAGGAAATAAGCTTTAAGTGCTACATATTGTAACAGATTGGAATGTGTAGACTTACAGTATTAGATGGTCATAATCCCCCCAGTGCAAGGCTGATTGCAGGGGTAGCAAGAGTTGGCTAATCCTTTTGGGCCAATGGCATAAAACAAGGATTAGTTTTTCATTTACTGCAACTGAGTGGGTCATTAGGATCCAAAGACACTAATGAGCCTGAACAGGCAATTGGATTCTGGTTTCAAAGTTATGGGCTAGTTTGAAAGGAGATTGATTGTGTCTTTTCATGATTTAAAACATGATGTTTCGGTGACCTTTTGCCTGAGAAAAATGAATGAAGGATGTAACGGTGGAACACAAACCTGGAATGCTGACTTTTTTCCTCCTGAGACTTGAGTTGTTGCCAGATTCGTTGCCTTAGAGGCTGAATGGCTCATTTAGAAATATCTCTGTTGCCTTGCTTTTATGTTCTGCTCTTGATGTCTCCAGAGTTGACACAAGTCACATGCAATCACGTCTGTATTCCTGGTGGACAGGCACTGTCCTAATGTTCTCTGACTCACACCCAGGTTGTTTGCAGCTCAGCAGTTCTGCTTCCAGACACTTCACTTTGTGTTCTGATGCTAACATCTTGCTGAGAAATTGCCTCTTGGCACGTTGTTTCTTGGATCCTGTACCTTGCTTGATTTGATGTGAAGATGATGCTCTTTTTAGCACTTGCAACACGTTACCTTTGGAAAGGTAAATCTTTGCCCCCACCTTGCTACATCCCAGAATTTTTTCTTTTCAGGAATCACTTGAATTCAGCAGTAATAGGTAGCTTCTATTTGGTTTCATTCAAATTAAGCAAGGGTATGAAAGAAGTATCAAAAGATGCTGATGCCATGCTAATGGAATGTTTAGACATACACAAAAGGAAAATACTTTGACTGTTATGACTCCATAGGAGAAAATAGTGTCTAAAATTTTAATATCATGGGCTTAATTTTCTGTATTATACCACAGTCCACAAAGCATCCATAAAATTATTTCATACAGCACAGGACTTGATCCATAAACCTTTGAGGCTTGGCTTGGGGAAGGGAAAAAAGAAGAAGAACAAGTACAAAAAGTTCTTGCTAGTGGGGAACCAGCTGCTCTGACTGGTGGGAAGCTTGGAAGCTGACAGTCCAGACTGAAACTCAGTTTTGAGCCTGCAGTTCTCATCTGCTCCCTTCTGCCAGAGCAGGACTGCCTTGAGCTAAGTGTGGTCTCTTGCTGCTCCCTTGTTTTTCTTGAGGCACATGTGTGGCAAGTTTTAACTGTTTCCACAAAATTCCTCATGCTGTGGTCAGTGATGTTGCTCACTGCCACAGTGGCAAAGGGCTCCTGACCAGAAGTTATGGGTAAAAAGTGGTTAAAAATGTTTCTTAACAATTACAAAACCCCTGGAAGTGCTGTTTCCATTGCATTTCAGGGAAGTGCCACGCCTCTGAAGCACTCTAGCCATTACCCAAGCTGTACAATACAATTTCAAATTGTGCTACATGGACTTCAAAAATCCCTGGGCACAATGCATTCCTCAAGGT